AGTGGATGCACTCCCGCCCTGCGCCCTATACTCTTTCCAGCTCGTTAAACCGACTCGGGTAAACAAGCGACGAGAGACTGTTTTCGGAGCTGGCCGTCGAGAAGCTGAACTTAGGCAGGGCGTGTTCATGTGGCGCTGGAGCTTGCTCGCCTGCGAGCACGCGTGTCGCACAGATGGGCACTTGTAGGGCTTCTCGCCCGTGGGGCTGCGCCGGTGCACGATGAGATTGCTCTGGACCTCGAAGGTCTTGCCGCAGAACTCGCACGACTTGCTCTTGGCGAGCGGCTGCGGCGGCGGCGTGCCGCCGGGGGGCATGGGCGGCAGCGGCGGCGTGCTCAGGAACGGGGACTTGGGGCTGGGCTGGAAGGGGTTCAGGAGCCGGTGCATAGGGTTGCCGCGGCCCGGCGACACGGGCGGCGGCGTGGAGCTGTTGCCCGCCAACTCGCGGAGCCGCCGCGAGAAGTCCATGGCGGGCGAGTCGATGGCCATGGGGTTCAGGCGCATGACTCGGTCAAAGGCACTGGGGTGCTGGGCGACGAGCCCCATCTCCTCGGCACTGAGGCGGTGCGGGTCCAGGTGGTGGCGCGGCGGCGGACTGAAGAGCGGCGGCGTGCCGGGCAGGCGGCCCTCGCCGAAGCCCGGGTGGTCCCGCAGGATGGGGCCCGTCATGCGCAGCAGGTTGAAGGGGTTGCTGTCGCCCAGGAAATTCATGAGCGGCGACTGGGCCACGGCCTCGGGCCCCAGCGGCGGCGGGATGGTGAGCCGCGGCGTGAGGGAGCTGCTGGCGGGCCCGGGCTCCAGGTAGATGCGGAAGCCGTGCGTGTTCTGCGCGTGCTGCAGCAGGAACCACGCGCTGGTGAAGGGCTGCTTGCATGTTGTGCAAATGTAGCTGGAAGGCTCATCTTTACCTGGGGAGACACACGGACAGAAAGGCAGAGAAGAGAGCGTGAGAAGCGGCGCGGGGCGAGCCTGCCGCGGGGCCAGGACCTGGAGGTGCTTTCTGCAAAGCCCAGGCCCGCAGTGGGGCGACCCTTGGGCCAGGCCCTAGGTGTCCGTCCCCAGCTGGCTGGGGGCTGAAGAAGCCCGTTGTGTGTGTGGGCAGGCGGCCTCGCAAAGCCAGACCGGCCACAGGACCTCAGCTAATCCATTCCATTGGCCTCCGTTTGCACCCCTAAAGAAAAGGTATCCTTGTTCTTGTCTGCTCAGAAGCCAGATGAGATTTTGTGAGAATGAATGCCTGACTCCAACAATGGGGATGATATCAAGGTTGGCCTGCATAAGGGTCCCCTGCCCACACCGGCAACTCTGGCGCGGGGGGGGGGGGGGTTGTCAACCAAGGCATGACTGACATTGAGACCCCGATAATTCTTTGTCCTGGGGGCTGCCCTATGCACTGTAGGATGTTCAGCAGCATCCCTGGCCTCTACATCCCCCTGCCCACCCCACCCCCCAGTCACTAAGATAAAACATTTCTCCAGGCATTACCAACTGTCCCCTGGGGGGCAAAACTGAACCCCCAACCCCTTTGAGAACCACTGATGAGGCAATATTTGCTCCAAGGAAGTTCTAAGAACACAAGTCAGACGGAATCACCTTGCAAAGGCTTTTTTAAAAGAAATGGCTGCCTCGTTTGGGATTTTAACTCCAGGAAATTCTAGGGTTTCATATATCAGCATCCGCACAGAAAGCGCTATCAAACTTCAACGTGGACATGCAGGCGCAGAAGGAATTAGCATGCTATGAAGATTACTACATTGTGACAGCTGCCACTCCGTGGCCTCACACACACTATAACCATAACCACTGCGTGGGGTCGGCCTCCACAGACCCCCCAGAGGGGGCGGGGGCCATTGGCCTACATGAAGTCCTTTGCCAGAAAGTTAACCGAATGGAAGAATGCCAGGCCCACCACAGCAGTCGGGATCAATGGCGGCACGCATGGGTTTGCTACAAGCTGGCTCTGGGGGGGAGAAGGGGAGCACTGGGTACAAACTGTCACAGACCCTGATGGCACTGAGCCAGGGTGGAGTCTTGTCCGTCACTGGGGCAGTCATGGAGCTGAACTTTCCGTCCAGAGCCCGTCCTGTGGCTGCCCCCCACAACCTGCAGGTGAGGCTGCCGCCTGTCCTACCGCTTCTCACACACAGGACGGCGTGGGCAGGCCCTGCCTTCCACCACCAGATCTGCTCGCTGGCCGGAAGGAACAGGGAACAGGACATCACAGCCACGATCTGGAAGAACCCCTTCTGCTTTCTCCACCTCCCCTGTACCTGGGAGATCCTCACGCTGAGAAAACCCGGGAACCATGCTGGTGACCATAACCAACGTTAGTAAGTTGATGGGAGGTACAGTGGGGTGCAGAGGGAAGAAGCCAGTCCCCGCCTTGCCCTGGTCCATTGAAGGACTTCTGAAATCCTGTACAGAGATTCCGTTTTTGTTTTCCACCCATGAGTTATATTTCTGGGGGGCTGCACCCTCAGCAGGAAAAACCAAGGGACTCGAACCCAATGCCACGCTGGTAGGTTAGTCTTGACAACTCCCGAGGGGGCAGGGCCTCCCGAGCTCACAGGGTGTGCGATGTCACAGAAAAGCAGGCCGACCAGGGCGCAGGGGGTCGACTCTGCCGGGCCACAGAGCTGACGGGGCCAGGCACAGAGCCGACGGGGCCAGAGCCCCACCTCCGGTAAGCGAGGCCAGCTTTGCGGGTTTGCTGTGCTACGGGATCATTTCACTCTCTTCTCCTCTGTCGTGTCTGCGCCTGTAATGGCGAGGAGACCGCTGGGGAGAAAGAAAAGGGAAACTGACGTTCAGCTTCACCTCGCTTCTAAACAGCTCAAGGAGAACCTCTGAGCGAGACGCTTCTCTTTCTCCAGGGCGTCTGGGGACTTCATTCCTCACGCTGGGGCCCCAGGAGAATCGTGCCCACCTGGAAAGCGGTGGGGGACCTTCCCAAGGCCCCGGGCAGCACGTGGGGGTGCAGGGCCTCACAGCACCCCAGCCCCCACTTTCTGCATGCCACTCAGCTAGACAGGAAGTGCCGCTTCCTCGGAGGCACCATCTCCCATCCTGGCTTTTAGTTACTCTCCGTGGGAGACGGACTCGCTACCTCCTGCAGACGCACGGGAGGGCGGGCCAGAGCCCATATTTATAGTCTTCCTCAAACCCTCTCCTGGAGCAGGATAAATAAGTAAGAAATAAGAAGCAGATCGATTAAAGTTCTTTCTGACACAGCAGCTAATAGCACAGATGAAGGGCCACACCCCACAAGGTCGTAGGGCTTCAAATTAAAGGGCACTTCTGTGCCCTTCACCTGGGCTTCAGCCATTCATCGAGTCCCAGCACCAGCAGCCCCTCCCTTCCCCCACTCTCCCTTTCCATCATCTGCATTTCCTTGGGTATCTCCAGAGCACTCCTGTTTCTTGCACTGATGGCCATGCCTTTTCTAGAAAATTCTATAGCTAGCCAAAGACCAGTCAGAACTCCGAGGCAGGCTCTGCAGCCGAAATGGCCGATTAAAACGTTTTTTAGAAATCAACTCAAGATGGCAGCTGCTGGGAAACGTGTAGCCACAGGTCCCAAACAGCTCAGACGTTCCCACTTCTCGTTTTTTAAAAAAAGAGGGGCAGGCGCCTGTCAATCTCTAACTGGGCGCGGCCTGGGGAGGAAGTCACCTGCCCGGAATTCACCATCAGGCGCATCCCTCAGGTCGGGCTGCTGGGCCCCTCGTCACGCTGGGGTGAGCCCTTTCTTTTCCTGCCCCCGGAAACGGCTGAGCTTCCTGGATGTCCCCCCTCACCTGGCAACACTCACCCCAGCGCTGGCCTTCCGGGACCCGGCAGCTTCCGACTTTAAAACCCTGGGGCCCTCACAGGCCCTCCCTGACACCTCTCCCCCTTCTTTTTTAAATAAAATGTTCATTTCCATTCCCACCTCACGGAGATCTCCCGCCCAGAATCGCCTTGAGCACCGGGGGCCTCACCCTTAAGGACTGAAGGACGTCAGAAAGTCTGAGAGCCACACGGAGCATTTTTCTATCCGAAACCTGGCGGCGCACACAGTCCCGGGCGGCTCCTTCGCAAACGCAGCAGCAGACCCTCGGTGAGAGGCCGCCCCTTCCCCTTCGGGGACCAGAGGTTTCCTCGCCGGCACCCTTCCTGGAGCTCAGGGCCACCTGCCCAGAGGTGAACTGGAGCCTCCACGGGTGAGGACCCCACCGGTGGCCCAGACAGGACCCACTTCCCACCGGGCTGCGGAGGTTCCAAGCTGCCGGGCGGACGCCTGGGTTACTCTGAAGTGACTTACGCAGCGCGTGAGCTCGGCCTACAGACTTGGAACTGTCAGCTGCACTGGGAGCGCTAACTCAGGCTTGGCGGCCAGAGCCCGGGGCCGCCTCTTTCCTTGCTTCCTTCCCGCCTCCTCCCTCACACGTTGTTAAGGTCCATGCTGGGTCTTCTTCGCTCCGGGGGCTCTAAAGGGAGCCCCCTGGGTTTTTCTCAAGTTCAAAAACCTTCCGTGATCCTCATCAGCAAACGAGCTAGCAGTGATGGAGTTCATCACCTCTGCTTTGACCTTCCCAGCACAGTGAAGTCAAACCAGGTCCTTCAGCGCTCGAGCCTCGATTTCCTCATCAGTAGAGATGAGAACAACACACTTCGGGGACCAAGCAGGGCACAGTACGTGGGCACACCTACAGAAGTCCCCGCTGCCATGCAGAAGTTCGGGTTTGGCGGCTCGCATGATTCGTGTGTGTGTTTTTTGTTTTGTTGATCCTCACCTGAGGATATCTCTTTCCATTGCTTTTCAGGGAGAATGTAAGCGTGGGAAGAAGGGGAAGGACGAGGGAGGGAGGGAGGGAGGGAGAGAGAGAGAGAGAGAGAGAGAGAGAGAGAGAGAGAGAGAGAGAGAGAGAAAGAGAGAGAGAGAGAAAGAGAAAGAAAGAAAGAAAGAAAAAAGAGAAAGAAAGAAAGAAAGAAAGAAAGAAAGAAAGAAAGAAAGAAAGAAAGAAAGGAAGAAAGAAAGAAAGAAAGAGAAAGAAAGAAAGATGTGAGAGACACATCAACTGGCTGCCTCCCTTCGGTGCGCGGGCCAGTGCTCTAACCACTGGACACACTGGCCAGGGCTCGTTGGTTATTGTCCATCTCGGACCCAGCACTGGGTGTTTCTGGGATGCCTGTCGGGGTAGCTCTGGCAGTGATAAAATGCTGGAGGGATTCTAATGCAGCCCACCTAACGCACGGGAGGCTCCAGGGAAGCCGAAACTTGCCAACGTTGAGGAAACATCATTTTTTATTGTGAAGCTTGGGAACAGACACCCAACTGGACTCCTGCAGAGAAATGCTACTCTCCCTCTGCTATTAAAGTTTTCTCTATATTGATTTCAAGAGAGGAAGGGAGAGGGAAAGGGATATAGAAACATCAATGATGAGAGAGAATCACTGATTGGCTGCCTCCTGCACGCCCACACTGGGATCGAGCCTGCAACCCAGGTATGTGCCCTTGACCAGAATCAAACCGGGGACCCTTCAGTCCACAGGCCGACGTTCTATCCACTGAGCCAAATTGGCTAGGGCTGTTCAGGTGTGTGTTTTAATGAGCATTTAAATAATTTCCTCGTCAGTATGCCAATGACTCTAATAGTACCAATAAAGGTATCAGGGACAACGTCAATAAAACACACACCTTTACTGGGGTTATTCGTGGAAGAGGCCATCGCTAGGGGCCGAGTTTCCCTTCTCCCACCGAGGCCAAGCCACCCCGTTGGAAGGGCAGCCTGCCTGCAGGGCCTGAGACACAGGCTGCCCGGTCCTCCAAAAGCTGGAGGCCCAAATCAGAACCGGGCCCTCTGCAGCGTGCGCCGCGTTTTACGGCGGGTCTGGCATGTGCACGGGCCGCTTCCTGCTGCTCACAC